GGCTCCATACTGGTCGCTGGCTGACAGACAACATTCCCAAGTTTTCTACCATGTGTATTCAACGCTAGACAAAAGTGAAAAGTCGAAAAAGGTCCTCGATCAAGCAACCTCTGACGTCCATTTGCTCAAACAACACTCATTACCATCCACTTTCAAAGCTTCATGGGTTCTAGTTGTAACATGGGATAAACTTCGTCACTATACAATCAATGATCATACAAAAAATTTGGTTAGTATAATAGATATTGAATTCAAATCAAATAACGACCTAATCCATTCTTACTTATGTTTCATATTCATTTCATACCCTATTTTCATGAAAGCTTCCTTAGCTTTAATTTGTTTCAAACCTTGACCATGGGACATTTAATAAAAGTGGCATTCCTATGGTCCTGTGCATCTTGGGAATTTTGTTATATTTTACACAGAGAAATACATTCCAAGCTGTTCTGATAACAGACGGTGTGTTTTCATTCGCAATGTATAACTATCCCACAAACGGAATTGAATGGTCAGCACCAACGTCAAGGTGAGATAAATATCTCTGTTTATAAAATAAGTAAACGTCCATTGTGTTTGTTCAATCTGTTCTCCTTTGGTCTTGTTCTGGCGCTTCATAATGTTATGGGTTCCATTTCATATCAAAGAACTGCTGTCATTCGTTTCGCAACCATATATGGTAATATTCCCTTATTTGCAAAGGAGATGAGCTCTTGAGTTGTCTTGTTTTGTTTTCTATTTATCTTCTTTTCATCGTTATATTTCTTTCACTCTGTAACTGATAGGCAAAATTGGAACCTTTTTACAAATGACCGGGGACTTCCAGTGGTTGGTTGGAATTTCGCACAATACAGTCTAGCTGGAAACTATTTCAATGCAGAAAGGTAAGATTTTTTCTCTGTTTCAATATTCATAATCATTCACTCAAATATAGTTTTTAAATATGTATTCTGCTTGTTGTTATGGTGGTTTGGGTATCTGTTTTAGGTCTGGAACGGTAAACATTGGAGACATTGACGATACAGATGGTACAAGTGTGTACTTCAGTCAGGGTGGCAGGAGGAATTCAAAACAAAATYATATTAAAGGAAAATGGTTCTTTGAATTATATCATTATTCGAAAGTATCTAATGGCGAAAGAAATTGTAAAAACTGGTTTAAAACTCAGCCAGATCCAAGACCGTTCCTGGAATATCTGGAACCATGTCCCTGCACGTCTCGTCAAGCTTGGTTCGATGAACGGTTCACTCCACTTCTTGGAATGCAGGGGTGGTTGGGGTGGTGGCGTTGGAGGTCCAATCCAAGGCCGTGTGCRCTTTCAACKTTTCCTTCCATTGACGGTTGGGAACAGAAGTGCTGTTATTCCCATGAATCTGGGCAGTGGGGAGCATTGCTTGTAGGTCATCCTAACGGAGGCTACTCGCACAGATACAGTAAAACCAAGCAATCGGGAAGTCATATAAACAGTGATGTCATGGGCTACAAATATTGCTGTGTGGATTCTAATCTTTGCCATCTTTTCTATCAAAGAAGACCTTCAGATGACTGTAGTCGATATGAGCCTCCAGAATGGAGTAAGTACAATGTGCATTGGTCTTAATACCTACCTTGAAATAAAACAATTCAGAAGAATCGACTTGCATACGGGTCAATGTGAACGATCTTTTTTTTTTCTGCTTTTCAATATTTAGGTTGGATGTGGGGCGATCCACACTTCGTTACGTTGGACGGCAAAAACTACACTTTTAATGGCCTTGGTGAATACGTTATGATCGATGCTAAAAACGGTTTCTTCCAGCTCCAATCAAGGACACGACTAGCGAAAGGAGAAGGAACAGCGACAATATTTTGTGCAACTGTGATGAAGGAGTACAATTGCAGCACTGTGCAGCTCAATCTTGAAGAGAATGGTAAGCCATTCAGTAGCTTATTCGTGCTCGGCTCTTTCCAGCGAAAAGATGTTGGATTGGTGCACAGTTCTCAATGAACGCAAGTTTTCCTCAATCTTTTTTTTCTTGGTGTGTGAAAGCATTAAATACGTGTAGTCAATTACTTATTTTAGAAGGGCTTTATTCTGATCGTTTATTCAGATTATGAAGSCAAGCMGGTCTTATTGTTTTCCAGGCTCAATGTCTGTGCTGATTGATGGTGAACCACTAGATCTTGAAAGCCTTCAGAATGGTTCCACCACACTAAATGGATCTGTAGTGGTTGCTCGCCCTCAGGAAAACTCATTTAAAGCCACATATCCATCTGGAATAGCGGTTACACTTACAGAATCTAAAGGGGCACTGTCTATCGTAGTTGCTCTCCCAAAATCGTRTAGAAATCAGACGAAAGGTCTTTTGGGAATATGGAATGGCAACAAGAGTGATGACTTAACTACACCAGAAGGACATGTTCTTCCTTCCAATGCAACTGGCAGAGAGGTTCACTTTGATTTTGGACAAAGATGTAAGTGCACATTAGTTTTTTTTTATTATATCATTGGTGCGTGCAATGTAAAGAGTTTCGATTGATCATTTTGTAAAATCTCTTTTTTCAATTAGGGCAAGTTAACGAGACAAATTCCTTGTTTACTTACGACGCCAACGAGTCAGTTTTTACCTTCTCGAACACCTCATTTGTGCCAATGTTTGTCGACGAAATAAAGTTCGCAAACAAAACTCTTGAGAAGCAGGCATTGGCTGAATGCAATGGTGATGTCAATTGCTTATTCGACGCAMCCTCCACAAATGACGTTTCTGTGGGGCTGGACACCAAAGTAGTTGGTTCTCAGTTGGTTAACGATTCTGCAATACTTAGTAGGTTTGCCTGTTGTTTCCCAGTAACGTTAGTATTCTTTGTATTACAATAAACCTATTATTGAAGGACGTTTTTTTTCCAATTTGCCAAATAAGTTGCAATAAGCAACAGCTTTCTTGGAATTTGGTTTCCATACCTCATGATACCTGACTTGCAAGTACAACTGTTTATATAAAGGTTTCATTTATTTAATTAAAGTTTACGAAAAAGGTTCTAGCTAGTAGACTTACTTGTTCTCTTTTTTGCTTCAAGGCAATTCTCCCCCGAAATTTCCAAATTATACATCAGCAATATTGTTGACTATCAATGTTACCAAACATCTTGAAATCCCTGTTGAGGACACCGATGGGGATTCTGTTAGATTCAACGTAACTGGATTACCAAATGGAGCTATTGTBAAAACYAACAGTTCCACAGTTTCTGTTTCATGGGATGTTTCGATGGAAAAGGTAGGTGATATTGTTTACTTATTTTTTTCCAGATTCTAAGCAACTTGAGCTTAGCTTTTTGATTAAGGAGTATTTTTAAATACTCCTTAATAATATTATTTAATAATATTATTTAATAATATTATTTAATAATATTTTAATTATTTTATTATTTTTTTATTATTTTAATTATTATTATTTTTATTTTAATATTTTTTATTTAATAATATTATTTAATAATATTTTTAATACTATTTTTAAATATTTTTTAATACAAATCATGGCTTAAAAGCCATGATTTGTCCCTTTTGCTTTGAAGAATGGCTGTTCAACATAAGAACTCAAATGTACATGTCATAATAGATTATCTAGTTATCCTCTCTAAAGAAACTCATATGTCCTCATCACATCTCCATAGCTGAAAAGCACAATAGATCATTTAGTAAACTATATTCTATCAGTTATTAATCGTTAATTGTCGGATATAAGAGGGGAAAAACTTTTGCCATTTAGTAGGACATTGCAAAGTCTGATTATTTTATCCAAGATTTTT